TCTCTCTCTCTCTCTCTCTCTCTCTCTCTCTCTCTCTCTCTCTCTCTCTCTCTTTATCTATTCCAGGGGTCTTCAAACTTGACAGCTTTAAGACTTGTCCAACTCCCTGAATTCCTCCTCTAGTCATGTTAGCTCAGGGATTCTGGGAGTTGAAGTCCACAGGTCTTAAACTTGCCCAGTTTGAAGGCCCTTGCACAAAGCACTACCTTCTGCACGGGTTACTCTGAGGTTCGATGGACAGACAAATCCAGAGTTTGATCACCTGTAAAGCTGATCGTAGATCACAAGCAGTTCTATCAGGTTACAGGTAATCCTCAACTTACAACCAGTCACTTAGTGACTGTTTGAAGATACACCGGGCCTCTCCAGATACTTATGACCCGGTGATGAAGTTTTGATCCCCTCCCCGTGATCTCATTTGGGCCGCTTAGCAACCGGACAGACCGATCCGTTTGCATCGTCCTACTGTCACGTGACCCTGATTTCCGGCAAGACGAATTAAACCGGGAACTTTTATCTGGATTCAAAATCGGGACGTTCCATCGCCTGGAGGTTTCAGGAAAAATCAGCCAATGGGATTTGGAGGCAAAGCCTTCCCGATTTCTAGCCTCTTTCTAGCACCTGTGATTCAGTAGCCCTTTTAAGGGAGGAAAAATTAGGAGGGGAGGGCTGAACTTCCATGGGGAGGGAACTGCAGTATTACAAGAAATCTTCGACTGGCAGCTATTTATTTAGTGACGATGGAAAAAAAGGTGCCTTGTTTTTCACACCTGTGACCAACGCTGCATCCCCCATGATCAAAATTCAAGTGTTTGGCAATCAACAGGAATTTATGATGGTTGCAGGTTTTGACGCTTATGGCCGTTGTAGCAACCTATGGTCACATGCTCAGAATTTGGCAACTGCCTCCTATTTATGACGGCGGCAGGAGGAGTCACTTTTGGTCAAGCAAAGCCACTGATCCTGTCGCGGCCAGCAGAGCTGGGTGGCAGACTCGGACAGTGAGGAGGTTGGGGAGGAACCTGGGCCAGTCCTGGAGTCTGGGGAAGGCTCTGCGTCAGAGGCAGAGATGGGGCCAGGGCCGCCTGACAGCTATCAGCTATCTTCGGAGTCTGACATCAGTGGGGCAGAAGAACAGCTGGAGCCTGTTCCCAGTGTGCGCATGCACAGAGCTGCCAGGAGAAGGAAAGAATTAAGGAACTAGGGTCGACTCGGGAATAAACACACAGGTGAACGGTCCCTCCCAGAGGGAATAAAGAGGAATGAAAGGGGAGTGGGTTTTGCAGGAGACAATTAGTTAGTTGTGGAAGATTTGTTTCTGATTCCTTGCCAAGTAATTTCTGCTAAAGCGTGGCGTTTGGGAGCTATCGGCCTGGCAACTCGCCAAGCCTGAGAAGGTCTGTGCTTGTAATTCACCCTTGAAAGACTTTTTTGCCGGGACTTTGCTGGATGTGAATGAGAGGAATTCACATTAGCCTAATAAAAAGGAGTTTTGTCGGGACGAGGAGTCTGCTACGTGATTTTGTGAAGCCTAGGTCAGAACAGTCGCTGCGGAGAAGCCACGGCGGTCTCTGCAGGCTTTGGGGAGAAAGAGAAGGAGCTGCGGGTTTCTGAATGGGCAGGGAAGATCCTTGGGATGGAGGTGAGCCTTTCCGGGCTGATTCCCCCCCGCCGCCCCACCCAGAGCAACCTGCCCTCTTTGGTCTGCTGAGTGGAGGAGAGCCTTACTTCCAGTGAAGGCTATCCAGCGTGCGTATTTCGTTGCTTCCCGTCGCCAGTGAGAAGCCACCAGCAAGCCACAGGTGACAGTCAGTGAAATGATTCCCATGATGATAAAAAATAAAGTCGTGATCCACTCTGGAGGCAGCCGTGGAGGAATGCAGGTCCTGTCACGTCCATGAATGGTTTGACACTGTCGCACAAGGCCAACGGTGAGAGCACCTGAAACGACACACACACAGAGAGACACACACACAAGAGGCAGACGATGTAGGTGTTAATTCACATACGTTCTGGAAGCAGGGGACTTCCTAACAGCTGCCTGTCTCGGTTTGGCTTGCTCGATCTTCTGGAACAAGGAGGCTCAAGAAGAAGGGACCTGGTTTTCATCATGGCTTCTCTGGGTGAACTCGGAGGTCTTGGTTGAAGGTGACCAAATTCCGCCTCACCCCATCCCAACCCACCTCTTGCCACCGGTCCTTCAGTGTCAGCTAAAATAAATAAATAAATACCTCTTTGGTCTTTTTAGTTGCCAGCAGAAACGGGGTGAGGGAAAGTGGTGCATTCCTCAAATGCCTTAGATAATCCTACCTTCACGTACAAGTAATCCTTGACTTACAAGCTCAAATTTCGGGGGCGAGGCGAGAAAGTTGTTAAGTGCCCCATTTCACGACCTTTCTTGCACACTCGTTAAGTGAAGCGCTGCGGTTGTTAAAATTAGGAACAAGGTTGTTAAGTGAATCTGGCTTCCCCGTGGACTTTCCTTGTCAGAAGGTCGCAACAGGGGGGGCCTCAGCTGACCCCGGGGAGAACATTGCAACCGTCGTAAAGGTGGAGCCAGCTGCCAAGCACCCCAAGTTTTGATTAGGTGACCACGGGTTGCTGCAATAGTAGACCTAAGTGTGAGAAACACTTTTTTTCAGGGCCAGTGTAACTTTGGTCGCTAAATGAACGGTTGTAAGTCGAGGACTACCTGTATGTGTATTTCACTTTATACCTTGGGGGGGGAGGGGGAAATTATGTAATTGGCTTAAACCTACAAACACCCAAACATTGAGCCAGATGGCTGGTCGGGTCAGTTTAAGGACAAAGCCGCTGAAGTGAAACTGGCCTCATCTTAAGAAGTAGTAAGGTGAGGTATTGGTGGAGCGTGTAAATATTTAAATAGCTCGGAAAGAAAAGACGGCGGCTTTCTGGAATTACTTTGGAATGGAAAGAGAGCTGAGCTTTATATGCTCTGAGGTTTTCCAGAAAGGAAACTATTTCAACTCCCCCCACCAAGCAAAGACAATGACACAACCCCTGGCTGGGGTTTGTTTGGCCAGGACCAAGTCGGGGAGAAGGCCAACCACTCCTTGAGGCTTTGTCTCCCAAGTCGGAGGAACGGAGAACTTTCTGACTCGCCTCCATGGCCAGCTGGCCGAAATTGTCTCCTTTGACTGGGTTGGTGTGCTAGGAACATCTGCTCGGCATCAAAACCCAGAGGAGGAGGAGGAGGAGGAGAACGCCGAATAAACAGAAGGAAGAACAGTCTGGGAAAGCCAAATGAAGGACCCACCTACTTCAACTTGGAGACCTGCCAACTGAGCTCATCTTTCGAGGGTTGAAACCATACTGTGATGACCCAGGGCGCGGCACAAAAGCAACCAAGTCACAAAAGTAGGTAAAGTTCCCTTTCATTCCTCCAACTTGGCCCCCAATGTCCAGTTATCATCGGCTGGAGGAAAAAAAACCTCTCCCAAGAACAGTTTTTAAAGGGAAGAAATTCCGTCCGAACCCAAAGTACATCTAAATTATAAATAAAAACCATCACAAACCACAAGCTGCAGCAATTAACGAGGCAGGGCAGGATAAGGAATTGAAGACTTCAAATGATAACAAAACACACACCGTTGGGAGGATGCCAGAACCCAGATAACACTTGACAAAGGTAATTCACGCTTTGCTTGTATCCTTGTGCGCAAACACCCTTTTTAAATCCGGTGTTCCCAGCTGCAGCCAATGAAGGGGATCAGGGCCCTTTCCTCCCCCGTAAACCATGCAACCCACGTTGCTCCCTTCTCCGTTCCTCCCTTTGTGCCCTAGGATGAAGAGGGGGTGGCCTTCCTCTGAATGCCCAGCTGGACTGCGCCCTTCCCCAGTTTCCTCCACAGCCACTGGAGCCACACACCCACTCCCTGTCAGCTGCTTGACCTTCCCCTCGGAATCAGATTCCAACAGGGGCATGACATATATTGTTCCTCTGGCACTAATACCAAAGGAGAGTATCAAAGGTTTTCAGGACTTTCCCCGCCACTGCATCCCAGTCTAGTTTGCAACTATTGGTCTCTTATCCAAGTTCTAACCACCACCAACCTTTTAGCTCAGGGTTGTCCAACCTCGGCCACTTTAAGAACTGTGGACTTCAACTCCCAGAATTCCCCGGCTAGCCACGCATAGTTAAGAGAACAGCAGAAGGCAGAATCCGAAGTTGAATTATGAACGGAGGACGAATGTGTAACGCTAAAATGTATGCGCCTTTCTTGAAATTTGAAAGAGAAGAAGTGAACAAGGAAGAAGAACATATGTCTTGCTCACTTGCCAGGGACAATAAATATTTATTTTGTTCCTAGACAGCATGAGATAACACAACCCTGTAAAACAAAGTAACCATAACAATCTAAAACAACACAGCACAAACGAACACAAACAGCTAGTATCATGAAATATTAAAGCTTAGACTAGATTAAAAAGAGCTAGATTTTCTCTTTCTGTCTTTCTCTCTCTCCACACATACACAAACATACCCGTCAGTATTAATACAGATGCAAAGCAACAAATACACCTTTTAAAAAAAGGAAACTCTACTCTTGATCAAAAGCCAACAAAACTCTGCCACTTCAGAGAGAATTCACTTCCCTGGCCTCTGGTCTCTCCTCCTCAAATTAACCTACCGAACGGAATATAATTAGTAGCCGTGTTCCAAGATAATACCCACGTTCAAGTAAGCACATTAAAATTTAAATTCGGTGGAACTGAACACACACACACACAAGACAGAAAAACCACACACCCATTAACATTTATTTTTTTTAAAGTGAGATTTTAAAAGAAGATTTTTCTCCGCACGGCTTTTAATACAAGGGAAGCCAAAGCTATTCGGATTCTGTGATAACTTATGCGCCTTTGGTTTTGGGGTTGTTGTTCTTTTTAAAGCCGAGGGTGCATCTTCAGAGCAAACAGACTGGCAGCCACTGAAAGGGACTTTTGTGTAAGCTCCCCGGGAAAACACAATGGAGACTTTGTCCATCCCTGGCATACCACAACAGAGGACCTGGTTCAAGCTGGAGGCGGCTTTCACCCAGCACAGAAAGTTTAATGAAATGTCAGCTCCGCTGCCCGCATGGGCAAATCATTTGGGACATGTGTTGTACAGCGCTGAAGGGAGACTAGCGAGTCACCGTGGGCCCACAGACATCTAGCGTGTTGCCTCGGAACCGCAAAAGCCTGCAAGTGTTACGGGCACGCGCGCGTGTGCGCACACGCAGAGGAAATCCAGAGAACTCTGACTTAGAACGGGCGTCTCCAAACTCCGCAACTTTTTAAGACTCGTGGACTTCAACTCTTGAAACTAAATTGCATTTAGCAAAGCTTAACCAAGTGGAACAGCGGGAGGAAGGAAGATCAAATATGTTTTCTGTCTCTGGAGTCCCACGGGGCATTTTGAACAGAATTAGCTCCTTTTACAGCAACCGTGATCAGGGTTCAACCCTTCCGGCAACCCAGCAAATATTACAAGTGAAAGAGGATGTGGGAGGAGAGAGCTGGATGGGATGTGTCGGCAATCAATCAATCAATCAATCAATCAATCTTTCTTTCTCTCTCTCTCTCTCTCCCTTCTTTCCTTTTCTTCCTCTCTTTCTTTCTTTCTCTCTCTCCCTTCCTTCATTCTCTCTTTCTCTCTTTTCCTTTTCTTCCTCTCTCTCTCTTTCTCTTTCTTTCTTCTTCTCTCTCTCTCTTCCTTCCTTTCTTCCTCTCTCTCTCTCTCCCTTCCTTTCTTCCTCTCTCTCTCTCTCTCTCTTCCTTCCTTTCTTCCTCTCTCTCTCTCTCTCTCTCCCTTCCTGCCTTCCTTCCTTTTCTTCACTGCAAGAGAAACACCAAAGTTCTTCCATCAGCCGGCTTTGGCGAGAACAGGTGTTTGCCCGCGTATAAATAGCGGCTCACTCATTCTCACGCAAACGTGCGTGCAGAGACACACACACCCAGCCGGAGTCGGGGGGGGGGGGGGGGAAACATAAAAGCTTGGTTTGGAAAAAAAAAAAAAAGAAAGCTTGTCGTGCTCTGAAATTACAGTTTAGCTCTAAAGACCTATCCTGAAACAAGAGGGGATTTTTTTTTTTAATCTCAGTTATCATCAGCAAGGGTGTGTTTTGTGCAAAGCAGCAGTCGTAGCGAGAATAACTTTGATGGGATCTTCCAGGTATGCATTCCCAGACGGCTCTTTTGCAAAGAGAGAAAAGCTAGCCAGGTTTTTTATGTAACCAGGTTTTGATGGACAAGAGAGGTAAATGAAGGCTTATTATACAGACACAGACTTCAGAGAGTAATTAGGACTGAAGAAAAAACAGTTACTATCAACCTGCCTTCCATCAAGGACCTGCATACTGCACAAGCAAAAAGAGGGCTGGGAAAATGTTTATAGACCCCTCACATCGCAGACATAAACTGTTTCAACTCCTTCCCTCAAAACAACACTATGGAGCCCTGCACACCTTTTTCTACCGATTGATCGTTCTTTATTTGGGATGGCAGGATACTGTTACCAGCTCCGTTCTCAGGGGGAAAGAGGGAGAGACTTTTGGCTCCATGCAAGGAAAGCAGCAGAAGCCGCAGAAGTCTTTCTTTCTCTCCCCCAAACTCCGCCAGAAAGGAGTCTTTGACGGCGCAGCCTCTTGGAGCAGGAGGCCTTGCAGGGTCCCAAAGACTCATTTCTGGCGGAGTTTGGGGGAGAGAAAGGAAGACTTTGGCTGCTTTCCTTGCGTGCAGCCAAAAGCAGAAGAAGAAAGAAGCGGAAAGAAGCAGCCCAATGGCCAGGCCAGGTGCATGGGGTGAATGGGGCAAGTTCCCCCCCACTTTCTCCCCTCCCCTCACTGCCTTGTGTTGTTCGCAATGAAAGCGACGCAAGCCTTGTATTTCTGTGCAGCCTGGATTATTCGCTATGGGGGGTGCTTTGGGGATAACAT